GTCAAGTGACTCTTCTTCAGTTCTCTCCACAGAGGCTGCCAGACCTGATGAGTTTTTCCAGCAATTTCTGTTTTTAGCTTGTCAATTGGCTGAATTAGCTGCCTGCTGTTGCTGGACAGAAATTCCATCATATTGGGCCTTGCCTGTGGGAAGACATCTCAGAGTTGGAACCTATTGGGAACACAGACCCGATATACTGTTTTCCAGCTATACTCCCAATGCCAGCACCTAACTCACCTCTGTGGTCCTTGGATGATTCAGCCCCCTCTCTGTGCTGGCGCTGTCAAATCATTTAATAATTTTGAACATTTCTATTCAGTCACGCTCTGAGTCTTCTGTTTTGAAAAAAAAAGACACTCAGCCAGCTTATCTTTTCCTGATAGATGACAAAAAACAGTAAAATTATATCTATGTAAATTGTTTAGCATCCACAGCAGCATCCCTATATCCTTCCTGTAATATGGCAATCAGAATTCTGAACAGTACTCCAACTGTGGTCTAATTAAGCTTTAACACAATAGCAAAACCTTTCTGTTTCTTCCTACTCCCTCTGAAGGTAATCCCTTACGTTTGGTTTGCCTTTGCTATGGCCTTATTGCTCTGTTTTCACAAGTTTTCATGATTTGTGCATTTGCATTCTCCATTCTCTTTGCTGCATTAACCCATTTTGCTTCTTGTTTTCTAAATAGCCTTCTCATTTTGCTTAGAAAAATGTGATCCCTAACATTTGCCTATCCTGAGTTTCAGTTGAATGAATCTGCAAAGATTAGAAAAAGCAGTTTTAAAAATATTGACTTGCAGGAAGAATGTTTTCACTGGAATTTTTCCCTGTACCTCTTCACTTCCTGTTGTCATATTTCTGCAGCAGTTTGTTAGCCTGCTCTTGTAAGAGGTAGGGACTGGTCATTGTATCTCTCTTTGCCACTCAATATGATCATTCTGGTTTTCAACCTCAGTACCACATTTCCACCCAATCATCATTTCCCTTGTTCCCATATAGTTCCTCTTTCTACATTCATGAATGCAAAACACCTTTGTAAAGTTATCATGCACAATGTGACCATTACAGTCCACAGTTCCCTCATTTACTTGCCATTTCAGTTTCCCTGCGTTGTTCTGTAATTGATGTCCATGTTGTCTAAAGTAAAACTATAGCAAAACTATAAAGTCAATAATATTATTTCACATCAGCTCAATCATGCTTGTGAATTGTTTTGTGTGAAATTATTTTCTTGTAACAAAAGCACAAATTGCTGTAGAAACTCAGCAGGTCTGTGGAGAGTTAGCAGAGTTACCAGTGACTCTTCTTCATGACCCTTATGTTATTTTCTTCTTGTGTTCTTTGAATTTATTTAAAGATTTTACTTCAAGGCTATGACCTCACCCAGATTTCTGGGTTTGGAGTTGTGTTTGCTAATATAGGCTGGTGAATTTAGACCTTTGAGTGTATGCAGGGCACTGGAGTGTGAGGTCCCTTTTTTTTAACCTATAATGGATTCACTAAAGTTTGAAAATAATTATTGGGACAAATCTTCAAAGCTTTTTTCGGAAAAAAATCAGTTATATTTTAAAGAGTTTTTATGTTTGAAAGAGGCAATAATTGTGACAATAACATTTTGTTGTTTTATCCCTTTTATGCTCCGTAAGCATGACAGAGTGGAGTTCAGAGTAGAAGAGGAAATAAGGTTGTTTTGTAATGTTACTTGAGTTTTGGAAACAAGGGGTTATGTTCTGAGAAGATGATAGTCTTACCTGTGTTTCATTGACACATGGACAAAGTTGATATAGAATGTCTGCATGTCTGGTTCATCACCATCTCTTTCCTCATTCTGACTGAAATCCTTTTGAATGTGAGATAAAATTTGAAAAAGAATCAAACAACTTTGAGTGAATCATGTAAGAAGATGTAAGCAGCATGGTGGCTCAGTGGTTAGCACTGCAGTCTCACAGCACCAGGGACCTGGGTTCGATTCCACCCCCGGCCAACTGTCTGAGTTTGCACGTTCTCTCCGTATCTGTGTGGGTTTCCTCTGGGTGCTCTGGTTTCCTCCCACAGTCCAAAGATGTGCGGGCTAGGTGGATTGGCCATGCTAAATTGCCCACACTGTTCAGGGATGTATAGATTAGGTGGGTTATAGGGGGAACGAGTCTGGATGGGATGCTCTGAGGATCGGTGTGGACTTGTTGGGCTGAAGGGCCTGTTTCCACGCTGTAGGGATTCTATGATTCTATGAGAGTAGGGTTTTGAGGGGATACGGTTGTTGGCGAGCAGGGTCCTATGACTTGGGGGGGGGGGTTCCATCATCCATGCTGACAGACTGTCAAGTCAAACTGAGAGTGTTGGCAACCCTACCCAATAGGTAGCCATTGTTGGAGCTGTTTCTCCGTCAAGGCATTCCCACTTTGCATGTGAAAGGAAGCAAAATAACAGAGATAAACAAACAGAAGAGTTGAGGAATGAGAAACTTTAAAGGAGAGAGATGATAGGTTGAAAGAGAATTAGAAAAGATTTATATTCATTTAAAAGCCTTTCAGCAACACCAAGGCATGCCAAAATGCTCTGCAACCATGTAAGCCCTTTCTGAAGTAGCTCCATTGTGAAACGGGAAACGTGGCAACCAAGTTTAGCACAGCAAGATCCCACAAACAGCTGTGTGGTAAAGACCACATGATATAATTTTAGTTATGTTGGACATGAGGAAAGGTGGCCAAACAGAGATTACAGTTTATGACTTTGCATGTGAAGGAGTTGGGGGGGTGGAGGTGATGGTGGTGGGTGGAGTTGGAGTTGGAGTTGGAGATTGATCAGGAGGGGGGAAAAAGCTTTTTACTGAGAAGAGGGAAGTCTTGTCAATATAAGTTATAAGATACAGTTGGGTACAGGAGTGTTTACTTTGTAAAAGTGACCCATATTCTTGTTTAATTCAGCGTATATCTATGAGTATACTGTGATATCCATATCTGATCAATAGATGGCAGATGCGTTCAACCTGTTAGAAGATATTAATTCAAGAGTTGCTAATGTATTTCATGCAATGTATTAAGACATAG